CAAAGAAAAAAAAACCCCACCAACAAAAAAAATTCTCCAATAACCCCCCCCCCCCCCCCCCCGGGAAGAAAAAGGACGTTTGCTGCCAGAAATAGTTTAAATATTCTTGCCTCCCGCTGAATCTCTGGACCACTGCAACTATATTACTCTAAGACTGCTATAACATAGAAGATACCAAAATCCACCACTTGGAATGGAAAAGGCACAAGCTAAAGAATTTTACAGTGTTTATACATGTGCTGGGAAGGCAGCTTTAATTACAGTGGCTTTAAGAGCTGCTCCAATTAAAGCACCTGGAGCATCTTGTGTAACAGTATCCCCGCGTTTCAAAGTGGTGACAGAGACGCTTTAACTAAAGCTTGTCCAAAGAGCTTTGTTATTACCATGCTCCAGCATACTCAATTGAGCCTGCTCTGATGCACTGTCAGAGCAGCCATGCTACACGTGTAGGTGCCCTTAATATCCATTGTGCTCGCTTCTCTCTTCAGACCTGAAGAATGCTTTGCATTCCAAAACTTGTGTAAGTATTCCAACAAGGCAGTCGGTCCAATAAAAGATATCCCTCTTCTTTCCTCCCACCCCGCAAAAAAACCCCAAACTGTCCTTTCCTCTCCCAGAGAACAGATACAAAAGAAATACAGAACTACCTATCTTGGGCTGAAATAATCATGTTTAAAAGGTAGAGAGGCCAGATTTAGGGCCAGAACTACTTAATTCCAATGCAAATGCTACTCAAAGGTAATTTAAGATTATCTCCCTACTTGGTATAAAACAGGTATAGCCTCTTGGGTCAATGCATATGTTCAGGGCCAGAAAGAAGAAATGTGTGCTTAGTTTTCTGCAGGTAAATAGTTAAATTGACTTCAGTATATAAAAGTTAAACATATATAGAAATGGAATCTTAAGACAGCTGTTTATCAACAGCAATTAAATACTAGCATGTAGGTCTTGATTTTTTAAGTCCTCATGTGGTACAAAGACAGGTGCTTTAGGCTGTTGTGCTAAGCTGTTGTTTGATTTGGCTTCTATTTACATTCATATACACATGCTTGAGAGCTTTCCTTTATGCCAAAGGCACCTGTTTTGAGAAGCTCTGTATTTGGAATACAAGTGAGTCTACCTACGGACAAAGGTAGATGCTCTCCAACATCTAAATTTGATAGTGTTTCCCTGAATATTTACACACTGTTTTGGGATCTAAAAACATAAGAAGTGCCATACTGGGCCAGGTCAATGGTTTATCTAGCCTAGTATCTTGTCTTCAACAGTGGATCCTTTGTTTTGAACCTGTAACCCTCACTTCAATTCCTGGAAGTTTTCTTATTTGTCCTGAGAAATCTGTTGTTGCATTCTTAGTGGCCTCCCTTTTAAAGGAGGGCTTATAGTTTTTTGTGGTGGGCCTAAACCCATGTTTCCTGGGCACAAAAAATAGGCCTGTCTGACAGTGGCGGGAGTGGGTGCTATGCAGGGAGAACATTGAATTGGGCGTATCTAGAGTGATCTATCCCCTGTTCATTATCCTCCCTGGCATCCACCATTAATGGTTTAGAGATGGTGCCAGAGGATACATCTCTGACTGATCTGTTTACTAGCTATTAATAGATTTATCATCAATGAATTTGTCTAATCCTTTTTCAAACCCAGCTATACTATCTTCTTCTACGACCTCCCGTGGTAATGAGTTCCACAAATTAACTATGTGCTGCGTAAAAAAGTACTTTCTCTTGTGTTAGCTTTAAACCAGTCTCCTAACTTCATTGTGTGTCCCCTAGTTCTAGAATACTGAGACTTGGTGGATAACAGTTCCCTATCCACAGCCTTCATGACTGTATAGACCAGAGACCAGGTTAGTGTAGGGGGCTAGTCCATGAGCTGGTTTGAGCCCCACACACCATGATGGGGTCCCACACTGCCCCAGCCCCAATTGGGCCCTGCGCTGCCTCTGTTCAGCCCTGTACCACCCCCAGCCAGCTCTTGTATGCCTGGATTGGTTGCACACTGCCTTGGCTGGCCCGGCCCCTCTATGCCCAGATTGGTCCTTTGTTGCCTCAACTGGTCCCTGCATGCCTGGAGCGGCCCTTCGCTGTCTTAGTCAGCCCCTTGTGCATCTGATCAGCCTCATACCACTTTTGCCTAGCCCTGCACACCTGGATTGGGCCTCGCATCACCTCCATGCAGTCCCTCACCCTGGTGCACAGGGCCATACTATCTGTCCTATGGGGCTCCCCGCAGGTCCAAGGATTTGATAGTGGGGGAGAGGAAATTAACACTGCTACTGTGTCCCCCCTGCCAAATTTCTGGACTCATGGGGATCCCTGTGGACTGGATGACATGGACATGCAGACTGGATCCAGCCACTGGGCTGGGGGTTGACCACTTCTCTATCATATCCTCATTTAGCCTTCTCCTTTCCAAACTGAAGAGCCCTAGCCTTGTTAGTCTTTTCTAGTATGGCAACTGCTCCATACCCCAGATCATTTTGGTTGCCCTTTGTACCTTTTCTAATTCTATTACTTCCTCGTTGAAATGTGGAGACTAGAATTGTACACAGGATTCAAGATATGAACATACCATGGTTTTTTAAGTGGCATGATGATGTTTTCCCAATGCCCTTAATGTATTTTAGGTTTTTGACAACAAGGGAGTTTGAAATGAAGTTTCTTACCTATTTATGACTTCAGGCTGAAGGACTGTACTACCGAAAAGTTCCAGATACAAATTACGCCTCTGTTTTGCCATGACAGCTGGTATGAACCAGTCACTTTCAGCACTGGCGAAGATAGTTCTTATCTGCCTTATTGATGAAAACCAGATGAGTCTGTTAACTTTAAAAAAAAAATTCTATATTTTCTCCATGACCATTTAAGCATTATTCATTTTCTCAGGTTTCCCTGAACCTAACTGACATGATGATGCCTCAAGGCACTTCCATCTTTTGTGATTCATTTGACTGTCCCACTGGGGGTCATGATGTCACAAATATTGTCTTTCAGTTGACCAATCACTAAGCAGCAACTCAACACAATAAATGCTGACCTCATATTAAAGCCCTCCCTGTACTAGGATTAGGATTGCTATGTTAGCAATCCCCATGTTTGTATGTAGTCTTAATCTAGAACAGTGCACTTCACTAGAGTGAATTATACCACGGACCATTAAGATATGCGCCTCAGCTAAATTGAAGTGCAATTTTATAAAGGTTCTCAGAGGGAAAATCCATGTGTAATAATCAGGAAATTCCACAGTAATAAGCTTTGATGTTAAATTTTCAACCATAGTGTTGCTGATGTGTTTAGTTGCTGAGCTAGGTTTTTGCGAATGAAGTAGTGAAAACCCCTACGAAGGAATTCTGAGACATGTTGCCCTGGCTCGACTGAATAGAACAGCAGGATTTCAGTTGGGGGCTTCTCATGAAACAGTACCTTGCGGGTGATTTTTGACAGTTCACTTCTGCTTGAAAATCCCTGGACTTTCACAGAATATGTAGTGGAGCATAGGCTTCCCCCCAAAGTACTGTGATGATCATCAGAAGAAACTCCTACACTTCTCTGCACAGAAGAAAACTTTTAGGAGGGAAGCCCCTATCAGCCTCGATGTCCTCTTCCAGAGACAGTGAAAGGAGGCTTCTGATGATACCCATCTTTAGCTTAAAAAGCTCTTTGGGGAAGTTCATTTATGACTTTTCCCTCACCATCCTCCAGCACATAAAGGCCATAGCTGTATATATTTGTTTGGAGAGATGCATATATTGTTTATTTTATGTATCTATGTCTATCTCTGTATATCTATATACATATATAGAGATGTCTGTCTGTCTGTCTGTCTATCTCATAGATTTCATAGACATTAGGGCTAGAAGGGACCTCCTAAGATCTTTGGGTTCAGCCCTCTACCCCTGGGGGGTGGTGGGGGGAAGTCAGCTAGGGTGGAAGGATCCCAGCAAGATAAGCATCCAAATGTTTCTATCTCTCTCAGTATAGATGTATAGCTATATAATCTTTATGTCTGCATCAATGACTCTCAGCCAGGGTGTTGTGGCATCATAGGGTACCTTAAGATCCTTTCAAGGGTGCCATGGGGTACCATACAATGTTAGCACTATTCGCTCTGGAAACATAATTCCCTGGGGAGAAACAGAGTTTTCAAATAGGAATCCATAGCGTTAAAAACACCCTGATTTGTTGTGATCTTCCTGAGTTCTTTGCAATAGAAAAATTGATCTATTCCTAGTTGGCTGCGGTCAAAAACTGAGTGAAAACTAAGGGCTAAGTGCCTCAAGTCTAAGGGGTGCCTCCAATCTAAAAGGGTTGAGAAGCCTGAATACACATCCACGTTGCAGATTGGAGGCACGCCTCAACACACATGTACATATGCAGGACCCGGGGCGAGGCGGCTCCGGGCCGTAGCTGCTGCTCGCAAGCCGGAGCGGAGGGAATTCCCGCGGGCCGCTCCCTGGCCCCGCCCCCTGCTGCTGCGCGGCGCCTAGGCGTGGCCGGAGGGGAGCTCCCCGGGCCCCGCGGGGGCGGGGAGGCGGAGTCGCTCCTCC